CCTATAAAAGGTCACCACTTGGAGATCAAACTTTTGGAAACTCATTATGGTGTCTTCAATGAAGTCTCTCACCCCAGTGATCTAGGTTTGTCTTTGTCTTGGGTTTAGTTCTGTTTAAGACTTAGTAAAGATGGATTCTCTTTGCTCCTCTATAAAAGACTGAAACTACATGGTTAACTCAATTAAAAAAAACCCAAAACCCTTTTTATTGTGAATTGAGTGAAGGTTTCCATTCAACAAATCATAGACTTTGCTTCATTATATGGTTGTAATTCCTTCCATGCACCAGCAGTTAATAGCATTTACCTCTATCCACTGCGTTCCTCCCTGTGTCTCCTGCCACCGCCATCTTTCCTCTGCCAACCTCCTTCCTGTTGTATATTGCCTGCCCCGTAACCCATGTCAATGTGTGTCTACCCTCTAGCTCATGTATCATTTCCTCCTCCCCCCTCAAACATCATAGATTGTTTCTTTTATCAAGAGCCTCCCTTCTTCTCTCCCCCCTTGATATACAAAAACAATCAATCAAACAAAAAAACCACATAGGAATATATAATTGTTTAAACAACCACAGGGTATATTCTGGAAGTTGGTCTCCTGGCTGCCAGCTGTTCTTTTTATCTACCTCTCTCCTAGGGACTAAATATTTATTCTCTGGATAAACTCCTGCTACATGGGCATGTTCATTGTGAGGAGCCCTAAAGCTGAGAAGGTCATCTCCTCTCTGATTAACTTAGGATGTGAAGGAACTATGCTATAAGTAAGGAAATGAATCTTGACACAGCTGTCTTTTGTATGAAGTGAACCAAGGAATATTTCTACATGTCAGAGATGTAATGAAATAATTGCTTGAAAATGTCCTGAAACTAGCCCAATATAAACTTTCTCAGACCACTTAAAAGTTTTGGTTAACAACACCAAGCTGAATCTTCACACATTCATGAGAAAACTAAGCAAAGCTGTGTTTTTGATCTCACCTGAAAGATATAAAACTGTGATTGAGAATCCCTATTAATTCATGAAGTCAATTACTGTAACAATAGCCAATCATCAATAGAAGCCCATCCCTACCCCTCATCCATCCTTTTTTTGACCTCAACCACGAATTAACCAAATGAATAGCTGTATTATAATTTGTCTCACAAATTATATCACTGTGAGAAAATTTTAGTTGAAGTCATCAGTTCTCATTTATGTAGAATGGGTGTCTTCCATTTTTACATCTTTCCAGATGTATAATAATTTTTCCATTTCTGAATAATTAAATTCTGTTTCTATGGACTGAGTGAATTCTTTTCCAGAACAATGCCAAGACATGATTGAAGTTGATGTTATGAGACTACTAGGTTAAATCGCCTCTGATGTATGACCTTTGATTCAAAACAAAACCAAAGATTTAGACAGTTTGGCTGACAGAATCATAGGAAATTTTTATTGGCGTTCATGATCATCGTGTATTCCATGGTGAAGGAGGGAGAGAAAGGAAGACAAAGCAAGAAGAGGAAGTGGGGGTGGAGGGTTCAATTGGTTCTCAGTTTAAACCGCAGACAGAGAGAGAGGTTTTTGTGAAGATTCTACTAAGTGCCATGGAGTTGGTTCTGACCTGTGGAGACCCTGTTGTAGGGTTTCTGAGGAGCATCTGGTGGGTTTGAACTGCCAACCTTGTGGTTAGCAGTCCAGTGCTTACCCTATAACACCACACCAGTATTCCTTGAAAGATTATTGTTGTTATTGTTAGGTGGCATTGAGTTGGCACCAACTTGTAGCGACCCTGTGCATAATAAACCGAGACACTGTCTGGTCCTGCACCAATTTACCAGTCATTGCTAAGCCTGAGCCCATTCTGCTGCCACTGTGCCAGTCCATCTCGTTTGGGATCTTCCTCTTTATCTCCTACCTTCCACTTTACTAAATATCATATCCTTCTCCAGGGTCTGGTCCCTCCTGCCAATATGTCTGAAGTATCAGAGACGAAGTTTGGCCATCCTGGCCTCCAAGGAGAATTCTGACTGTACTTCGTCCAGCACAGATATGTTGGTTCTTTTAGCAGTCAATGGTACTTTCAATATTCTCCTCCAACATCATGAGTCAAATGCATCAATTCTTCTATGGTCTTCCTTATTCACTGTTTAACTTTCACATGCAGATGAGATGATTGACAACACCATGGCTTGGATCAGGCAAACCTTAGTTCTCAAACTGACATCTTTGCCTAATGCAACGTGTCATTTGTTTTCTTGACTGCTGATTCCATGAGTAATGGTGGCTGATCTGAGAAAAATGACGTCCTTGATAACTTTAATCTTTTCTCCATTTATATGGATGTTATTTATTGATCCAGTGGTGAGGAATTTTGTTTTCTTTACATTGAGGTGCAATCCATATCAAAGGCTGTGGTCTTTGATCTTCATCAGTAAGTATTTTAAATCCTCTTCATTTTCAGCAAGCAGGGTTGTATCATCCGCATGTTGAAGGTTGTTAATGAGTCTTTCTCCAATCCTGATGCCATATTTTTCTTCATATAATCCAGTTTCTCAGATTATTTTCTCAGCATACAGATTGAATAAGTGTGGTGAAAGAATACAATCCTGTTACACACCTTTCCTGATTTTAAACCATTCCGTGTTCCCTTGCTCTGTTCCAACAATTGTCTCTTGGTCTATGTACAGGTTCCTCATTAGTACAATTTAGTGTTCTGAAATACTCATGCTTCGTGATGTTGTCTGTAGTTTGTAATGATCCACACAATTGAAAGCCTTTGCGTAGTCAGTAAAGCACAGGTAAGCATCTTTCTGGTATTCTCTGCTTTCAGCCAAGATTCATCTGACGTCAGCAGTAATAGCCCTCATTCCACATCTTCTTCTGAATCCAGCTTGAACTTCTGGAAGTTCTCTGTCAATGTATGACTGCATACATTTTTGTCTTAATTTTACCAAGATTTTACTTGCATGCAATATGAATGCCATTGTCACATGATTTTCGCATTCCGCACTCCACTCATAGAATCCTCAAAGATTCTAAGAGCCCTTAAGTTGTAATAATTTTCCAGTTCTCTTGCAGTTCCCAACCAGCATTGCTGATGGGGGTGGTGAGATGTGGGAATATGAATGGAAGACATTTACAAAAAGAGAGAACTTTGTCTCAAATTTTGTTTGCAAGGTTTTTTGTTATTCCAAGAAGTCCACAAGCAGATTGATGGACACTCCATGCCAGCTCTAATTTTAAATTCTGAGTTTTATCCCCCAGAATTTGTACTAGCAAGCAGTTTTCATTTTTTTTCACCTTTTGTTCTAGGGAGTTATAATAGATCCAAATGTATTTTTTGGAGGAAAGAATTCTAATTTAATTATCTTGGAAGGAAAGCAACAGCAAGAAAAAAAAAAAAAAAATCAGAGATATGATCCTTCACAGCTATTCTGTTTAAGACATGTCTGCTTGTTAGCACCATTGAAATTTTTTGGCTCCCAATTACAATTACAGTGGCTTGTTCCATTGCAGTTGTGAATCTCCATATAAGTATTATGATTATTCCACGATAAATTAAATACAATTTATTGCCTTGGAGCTTCAGAATTCCTAATGATGAAAGGAAACAAAGCTCTTGGTGTGTGGCAGAAGTTAAACTGCAAAGAGTAGCTCTCATTCTTATTATAAGCAGTGTTACTACTTGGTCATTCTACAAGCATATATGGCACTTGAGACATGCCTCAGCTTTCTTCTGATTTGGAGCTTTGTGACTCAGATAATTGGTGTTTTCCCCTTTGGTTCGGCAGATGTATGTCATCAAGTGGCAATTTCCCACTGTGCTAGTGAATATCTGAATCTCTTCCCTCTTTCTCCCTGCTCCACTCACAACATTTCCCTAGCACATCCCATCTTATTGTCCCAAAGACATATTGGGGGCAAGGGTGGGATGCTCCCTGACCTTGGGCTCTGGAAGTTGAGGTAACAGACTGGTTCTTAGAATAAAAGTCAAACTTTTCGGATGGCTTCTAAAGCCCATCTTGATCTAGCATGCCCCAAGATTTGCTTCTTCTCAAATACATTCTTCTCTCTTTTGCTCTGTCACCTTTTTACATACAATTATTATATTATTTGTCTGAAACACTCTCTTCATGTTTCCCTGGACAACACCATTCTGTCCTCGGGTATTTGCTTATCCTTTGGATAAGGAAGGTTCGAATCACCTCTCTTGAGAAAGCTTCTATGATTTTCCCCTTCAGGTTCCATCATATGTTCTTATTATATCCTATTCTTTCCTCTTCATGGATCATATTCCATTCTACTGTAATTACAAGGTCCCTAAATGGTACAAGAGGTGGGCTGCTACACTCAAGGTGGCTAGTTGAAACCCACTCTGCAGTGTTGCAAAAGAAAGGTAAAGATTAACCCATTATCTATTGCCATGAGGTCAATTGCAACTCATAGGGACCCTGTCTAGGGTTTCTGATACAGGACAAGAAGACCTCATCTTTCTCCCATAAGGTGGCTAGTGGAGTGCCTGCCTTTCAGTTAGTAGTCCAGTGCTTATCCCACAGCACTGCCAGGGCTCCTTTTGTAAAGAATACAAACTCTGAAAACCCCATGAAGGGGTTCTACGCTATAACAATAGGGCTGTCATGAACTAGAACTAACTTGATGACAACAGGGTAGGTTTTATTATAATTACATGTCCAGTATCTGACTCCCTTGCTGAACTATAAACTCTAGTCATGTCTTTTTTGATCAGCTAACATTGAACCTTGAATAGCTCCTTAGTCAATATTTGTTGAATGCTAAATGGAATTTGAACCAGACAGATTTTTCTGAGAAGGCAGCATGAAGCATATACCCAGAATCTTTGGAGATTCTAGTATTTGGGGAAAAGTTACAGGGCTATCTTGAAGTCTCTTCTTAAACTTCTAAAATTAAAAATTAGCCATTCTTCTGGTCCATGCATTTCAGAATTTCCCTCAATACCCCAGATCCTGTTCCCTAGAAGTTCCTGGGTGTTCTGGTGGTCAGGAAGATGAGGTGACTTTTCTGTTGACTATCTTTCTCAAGGCCCCCTTTAGGTCTCTGTTCCTCAGGCTATAGATAAAGGGGTTCAGCATGGGGGTGACTGCAGTGTACATTACAGCAGAAGCCTTCTCCTTCACAGCTGTACGGACAGATGAAGGGCACAGATAGACTCCAATGGTGGTCCCGTAGAAGAGGGCTACCACAGACAGGTGGGAGCTGCAGGTGGAAAAGGCTTTCTTCCTGCCATTTGCAGAGGGGACCTTCATGATGGCCACAATGATCCGAGCGTAGGAGGCCAGGATGCAGATGAAGGGCGTGGCGATCACCATCCCTGCCACAATGAGGACAAAGATCTTGTTCACAGTGGTGTCAGTGCAAGAGAGCCGGAGAAGGGGAGTGAGGTCACAGAAGTAGTGAGGAATCTCATTGCTGCCACAGAAAACCAGGTGGGACATCAGGAGAATGTGGGTGAGGGAGATGAAGCAGGAAAACGTCCATGGGACACCAGCCAACAATCCACAGACACGTGGACTCATGATGGTAGTATAGTGCAAGGGGTGACATATGGCCACGAACCGGTCATAAGCCATCACAGCAATTAAAACACTGTCCATGATGCCAAAGAAATGGAAAAAGTACATCTGCGTCAGGCAGCAAGAATAGGAGATAGATTTGTTCCTGCTTTGGATGCTCACCAGCATCTTGGGCACAGTGTTGGTGGCCAAGCAGAAATCAACCAAGGAGAGGTTGGCTAGGAAGAAGTACATGGGAGTGTGAAGATGGGAGTCCGAGCTGATGGCTAGGATGATGAGCAGGTTTCCCACGGCTGTGACCACGTACATGCAGAGGAACAGAGCAAAAAGTACAGTCTCCTGCTCTGACTTTTCTGCTAGTCCCAGGAGGATGAATTCAGACGCACTAGTTTGGTTCCTTGGTTCCATGGCGATGGTTTATCTAGAAGTATTGAATGGGGAAGTTGCATGAATACTACACTATGGGAATGATTCTGGGAAGTTAGGCCAAATCATACCCAATGATTACACCAGCTTATAGCTTATGCACTTTGTACCATTGGCCAAATGTTTATCATAACTCATATTCCAAGACTAAGTTCAAGGTACCTTCTCTAAATATTTCCATTTTTATAAAGATCAAGAGAGGGAACCATGCATAGACCCTTGATGGAAGAACTTAATAGATATATTTCAGAATAAAGTAAACTGAATCCAAAAAGAACTGATATCTAAGAAGCAGCGGTTAACCAAGAAATATATACAAGGAAGATTTAACAAGTTCTTGGAAAAATACCATCAGATTTTAATTCCATTTTTAATGAACTTTTTGAAACTCCCTTCTATATATAATTGTTGTTTTTAAGTGTCATTGAGTTGGTTCTGATTTATAGAAACCCTGTATAGGGTTTCTGAGGATCAACTAGCAGATTTGAATCACCATCCTTGCAATTAGCCATCCAATGCTTATCCTATAGCACCATTTGTATATATAATTAAAATCTAAAAAATAGGAAGAACAATCATTACAATGAGAATATTCCTGATTTTCACTCAACTACTAATGTGGTGTGGCACTATAGGATAATTATTGGCTTGCTAATGGAAAGGTTGGTGGTTGAAACCTACAAACTGCAACTTGGAAATGGACTTGACAGTATTTAACAACAACACAAATCTAAAAATTAACAGTGCAAACCCACCCAGAAGCATTGTAGAAGAAAGGCCTGCTGATCTGCATCCAAAAAGATTACAGCAAAGAAAACCCAGTTTTACTCTCTACCACAAGGTGCTCTGGTTGGTTATGAGTCAGTTGGTTACAAGTCAGGCTGCTAACCACATGGTCAACAGTTTGAAATTACCAGCTGCTCAAAGGAAAAAAAAGATGAGGCTTTCTGTTCCCATAAATATTTACAGCCTTAGAAACCCTATACAAGGTTGTTGCTGTGAGTCAGAACCAACTCCATGGCATACCACCACCACCACCAATGTGACACCCTGGGTCAGCATGACTCCGAATTGATTCAGCAGCAATGTTTTCATTGTTGTGGATTTGGTACTTAAAGAAGGTGGATTAAAATACTTGGAACAGTGATATATCATAACGATGGAAACTGGAATAAAAATGTAAATTTCTTGTATTAAAATTTAGGAGAATAGACACATTGGATATTTTGAACTTTTTACATGCAGTGTAAGTGATAGCAATTTAGGTGGAGCCACTGAAATAAGGGATATAGAATGTATGACTTCTAAATTACAGCAAGGATTACAGTGAGATTGATTTGGACCACAAGGTTGGTGGTTCAAACTCATTATCCACTCCTCAGAAACCCTATACAGGGTTTCTGACAGGGTCACTATGAGTTAGAACAGACTCGATGGCACTAAACAATAAATATGCAGATGATACAACCTAGTTTACTGGAAGTGAAGAGAACTTAAAATACTGATGAAGATCAAAGTCTGCCTGCAGCCTTTAGTATGGGTTGCATCTCAATACAAAGAAAGCAAAA